CAAGAAAAGTTGCTGTGAGTGTTTACCCACAAGTCTATGTGTGGACATTGGCTTTGATATTTCTTGGGTAAATTTGTAAAGTGGGGAATGGCTAGGTCATAGGGTAAATATGTATTTAACTTTTTCAGAGGCTGCCAAACTATTTCCAAAAATGGTTATACCATTTTTCCATTCCCAAGAGCAGTATATAAGAGTTCCAACTGCTTCAAAGCCCCACCAACACCTGGTAAGGTCAATCTTTTAAAGATTTTTAGATGTCAATTAACTTGTATGCACATACACACACACACATACACATACTCATACATACACACACCTTACATTCCAGTGTGACAAATAGCTTTTCTTTAACCAACAGAGAGAATTTATTTTATTTTATTTTATTTTTTTGTCAGTCATGGAGCTTGAACTCTGGGCTTAGGCACTGTCCCTGAGCTCTTCAGCTCAAGGCAAGTGCTCTACCACTTCAGTTACAATGCCACTTCCGATTTTCTGGTGTTTAATTGGAGATAAGAATCACGGACTTTCCTGCCATGGCTGGCTTTGAACTATGATCCCCAGATCTCGGCCTCCTAAGTAGCTAGGATTACAGGCGAGAGCCACCAGCACCCAGCAATTATCTCTCTTTTTTTTTGTTTGTACATTTTTTATTATAAAAATGCGGTACAGAGGGGTTACAGTTACACGAGCAAGGCAAGGAGTATATTTCCAATTGAGCATTGTTGCCTCCTCCTTTGTTTTCCCCCTACCATCCCTTCCCTCCCACCTCCACAACTACCTTCCCTTTACCGAAGTTGTAAAGTTCGTTTTCAACATAATGTTTTGTACATCTCATTGTTACAATGGGTCAGCCTGTATCCTTATTTAAGCATTTTGTTTTTTCCCTTCCCCTCCCCGAATCTGAGAAGTGTATATACAAGATGCAGGGCACCAACATCAAAAACAGTGAAAATAGGGGTTATACCGTGGGGGAGAAACAAACAAAGCAACAACAAAATCACATGGTACATTACAAATATGTTAGAAACAATAGCAAGAAAGAAAAAAGATATTTGTGTCCCTATCTTGGGGTTCATTTCGCTTAACATCATTTTATATGGTCATATGTATATAGCTTTTGGCCTTTTCTGCTTGTACTATACATGTACTAGTTATTAGCAATTATATCTTTTTTTTTGGGGGGGGGGGTCTGGTCGTGGGGCCTGAACTCTGGGCCTAGGCGCTGTCCCTCAGCTCTTCAGCTCAAGGCTAGCGCTCTACCACTTGAGCCACAGCGCCACTTCCGGCTTTTTCTGTTTATGTGGTGCTGAGGAATCGAACCCAGGGCCTCATGCATGCAAGGCAAGCGCACTACCACTGAGCCACCTTCCCAGCCCAGCAGCAATTATATCTTATACTAGGCTCCTAGGGACTCTTCAGAGAGAGGGAGACTAGGCTGGTAGACGTGACAACTGACATCCAATAGGAGATGCTTTTACTGGACATGTGGGAAGAGGAAGGTTGAACCCTTGGTATGTGTATTGTGTGGGATTTCATGTGGACCCAAAGCTCTTCATCAGCTCTTCATCTTGCATAGGCAACTCTGTCAACAGGTACATAGGCCTAGATATATAGATTCATCCTTGAAAAACTGCTCCCTTATAGTGAGGAGACATGAATTTCCAGTGGCAGGTTGTGGACATTCTATGATACATATTGATTATCTTCACCTCTATCTCTACACAATGGAAGGGATCTTTTGCTGGCCTCCTACTCCATGATCTGGAGCAAGTCAGAGTGCCTAAACTATCTCCAACTTTAGACAAATCCGGCCTTTTTATCACTCTAAAGAACATCTTCCTTTGGGCTGGGAAGGTGGCTCAGTGGTAGAGTGCTTGCCTTGCATGCATGAGGCCCTGGGTTTGATTCCTCAGCACCACATAAACAGAAAAAGCTAGAAGTGGTGCTGTGGCTCAAGCGGTAGAGCGCTCGCCTTGAGCTGAAGAGATAAGGGACAGCGCCCAGGCCCACAGTTCAGGTCCATGACTGGCAAAAAAAAAAAAAAAGAAAGTCTTCCATAATCTCCTTTTGGTTAAGTAACTTTTCAAATCCATTCCTCAGTTGAGTTAGTCATCTTACTGTAGAGCTGCAATGTCATTTTATGTCTTTTCTCCTACAAATTCTTTGTCAGGTTAATGTTTTTGTTTTTGTTTTTTTGTCAGTTGTGGGGCTTGAACGCTGGGCTTGGGCGCTGTCCTTGCGCTCTTCAGCTCAAGGCGAGCACTCTACAACTTGAGCCACAGAGCCACTTCCGGTTTTCTAGTAGTTTATTAGAGAGAAGAGCCTCATGGACTTTCCTGCCTGGGCTGGCTTTGAACCGTGATTCTCAGATCTCAGCCTCCTGAGTAGCTAGGATTACAGGTGTGAGCCACCAGTGCCCGGCAGGTTAATGTTTTGTAACAATTCAATTCCAGTATGCATTATGCCTTGTTTAATTTTGTTTGGTGTGCTGGGCATTGCATGGAGGGCCTCACAAAGGCTGGTAAGTTTTCTCTTCTTGAGCTACACCTCAAGCCCCATGTTACACTTTTAAAATGTTCATTTAATAGTGAGCAAAGGGACTGGAGGTGTAGCTCACAAGTAGTGTATCTGTCTATCAAACGCAAAGACCTGAGTTCAACTTTAGTACTGCTCCCCCCAAAGCAAACTGATTTTACTTTTGATTTTGACAAATTAGTATTTTTACTTTTTCATGCTTTTTGAGTACTGTTATTTCCATTTATTTTTTTTCCTAATTAATTTTTGTACCTAGTATAAGGCAAGGGTCAAAATTTCTGTTAAGTGTGTTAGTTTTGGGGATATGTTTGTCCAAATATTCCAGCACCATATATAGAAAAGATTTCCTTTCCACATTGAATTTCCTTGGCAACTTTTTTTTTTTTTGGGTCCGATCATGGGGCCTGAACTCTGGGCCTGGGCGCTGTCCCTCAGCTCTTCAGCTCAAGGCTAGCGCTCTACCACTTGAACCACAGCGCCACTTCCGGCTTTTTTCTTTTTGCTTATGTGGTGCTGAGGAATCGAACCCAGGGCCTCAGGCATGCAAGGCAAGCGCTCTACCACTGAGCCACCTTCCCAGCCCCATCCTTGGCAACTTTTTGAATATAAAATGATCAGACCTTTCACAAAAAGATTCTAACTATGGACTCTTTTCATTAATCCGTGTATCTATCTATGCTAAAACTATTACTACAATTATAAAATAAGTCTTCATTTGAGCATGGTAGCACACATCTGTAGTCCTAGTGTCTCCGGAGGGTAAGACAGGAGTATTGCTTAGCCCAGGAGCTTGGAGACAGTCTAGGGCACATATGAGACTTCTGCCACTAGACAGAAAGGCAGACAGATAGATAAAAATAGTACCTCCTGGGGCTGGGAAGGTGGCTCAGCAGTAGAGTGCTTGCCTTGCATGCATGAGGCCTTGGGTTCGATTCCTCAGCATAAACGAAGAGAAAAAATCAGGAAGTGGCGCTGTGGCTCAAGTGGTAGAGTGCTAGCCTTGAGCTGAAGAGCTGAGGGACAGCGTCCAGGCCCAGAGTTCAGGCCCCACAACCAGACCCCCCCCCCCAAAAAAAAACCCAAAAAAACCTCCTATGCTGTACACCTGTGCTGGAGTGTAATGGGGCATATATATAATCCTAGCATTTGGGAAGCTAAGGCAAGAGAATAGTGAATTTGTGGCTACTCTGAGCTTGAGTCCCAGCTAGCCTGGGTTACATAGTAAAACCCTAAACAAGCAAACAGAAAGGCTTGAAATCTCTGTGTAAGTTCTTTCTCACACCTTTGCCTTTCCACATAAACTACCTAATTGGCTTCTTAATTACTAAAGCAAAAAGAAGGAGGAGGGGGGAGTGAGGGAGGTGGGTAAAGGAAGGGATAGTGGGAGAACAACAAAGTAGGGGGTAACGATGCTCAACAAGCAATGTACTCATGGGCTGGGAAGGTGGCTTAGTGGTAGAGTGCTTGCCTTGCATGCATGAGCCCTGGGTTCAATTCCTCAGCACCACATAAGCAGAAAAAGCTGTGGCTCAAAGTGGTAGAACGCTAACGTTGAGCTGAAGAGCTGAGGGACAGCACCCAGGCCCAGAGTTCAGGCCTCATGACTGACAAAGAAAAAAAGAAATGTACTCATTACTCATGTAACTGTAACCGCTCTGTACAGCATCTTTACAATAAAATAAAATTTTTAAAAATTCTGCTGGAACCCCTCTGTACAGCATCTTTACAACAAAATAAAAATTTTAAAAATTCTGCTGGATTGCACTGTATCTACAAATCTCTTTTGTAGGAGGTGGCATTTTCTGATTAATTCCACTTTTCCTTAGGAGTGGCACTCAACTGTTGATCTTCCCTGAGTGGTTAGGGAAGGATGCAGCACAGACCTTCCTCAAGGCCTGTTATTTAATATTAAGTGCTCAGGAGATGTGTTTGACTGAATCACGCATATCTTCACATCCCCAGGGTCCTAGTATTTTCAAGACCATTTGGCAGGTGGACTATGCATGGCTTAGAACCCTTCTGCATTTCTCTTAGGATCATGCAGTTAAGAAGTGACCAGAGAGAGGACAACAAAGAACTCCTGACTTCAAGTCCCAAGTTCTCTCTACTGGAGGTACACAGGCATGCATGCCTTATCCCTACTTGGAATTTTGCCTTCGACTCTTCTTTGTTTTCTTGGCTGCCTTGGAAGGCAAGCTTTCCACAAAGCAACTCCACGTGGGGAGGACCTGCAGAGCGTGCACCAGCGCTGACCGCTGCCTAGGGCGCAGGCCGCCTTGCAGTCGCCGACCACGTGCTCCCTGCTAGTAGTCCCAGGGCTTGGGCAGGCGGCCAAGCCGCATGCGCACACGGGAGGGGAGAGGGGGAGGTGGGCCCGGGGACCTGACCACGCCCACCGGGGGGCAGGACCGGAAGTCAGTCTGCGTCTCCCGGTTGCTAAGAAACCAGGGCTTCCACAACACAGAGTTTCTGCTGTAGCTTCTTTCCTTCTCTTGCTCAGCGTCAGCGTCTCTGAGCTCAATCACAATGTCGGAGACCGAAGTTGGGATCTTTCGAAGCACTTTTTCCTCTTACATGGCGGAGGGCGAGCGGCTCTACCTGTGCGGGGAGTTCTCTAAGGCCGCCCAGAGCTTCAGCAACGTGAGTGGTGAATGAGGCTCTGAACCTACCACCTTTCCCTCCCTCCTTCCCTCTCTCCTTCTCTCCCTCTCTGTGTCCCTCTCTCTCTTTCTCTCTCTCTTCCTCCCTTTCTTTTCCTTTTCTCTCTCATTCTTTGTACATTTCCTTTCCATTCTTTCCTCCTGATCTTTCTGCCTCAGCATCCTCAGTGCTGGGGTCACAGGCACACACCACCACACCTAGGTCCATCAGCACATTCAATTCCTGGTAATGCTGAGGTTCCTGATGAGCCTGGAGAACCCTTTTATGCCTCCTATGCACTGTTTCCTGTTTGATTCAACACTGGATGATATGCCCTGTGTTTGGTCATTTTCTACCAACTCCAACTGCCTTCTCCATTCTCTGCAATAAATAGTGACCTTTCACTCTGTGTTTTTTGTTTTGGTTGGTTGGTTGTATTGGGGATTGAACCCAGGGCCTCACACCTGTTGTATAAGCAGCAGTCTGGAGCTACTTGACCCACCTCCCAGCCCTTAACTGACCTTTCACAGAGCAAAATCAATTGCCCATCATGTGCTAGAGATTGCCGGGGAAGCTTCATGAAGAAGCAGTGGAATCTAATAATAAGGTTGCTTATAGAAATGAGGTGGTCAGAAAATGGCATTATTGTAGTTACCTTTTGTATGTGTGTGTGTGACCTGGTACTGAGGCTTGAAATCAGGGGTTTGCACTCTTACTCGGCTTTTTCACTCCAAACCGGCCTCTACTACTTGAGCCACATTTCTGTTTCCCACTTTTTGCTCATTAATTGGCTATAAAAATCTCACAGACTTTTCTGCTCGGGTTAACTTCAAACTGAGATCCTTTGAACTCAGCCTCCTGAGTAGGTAGTAGGTACAAGCTTGAGGCACCAGCACCCAGCAATTGTAGGTACAATAATATAAATGGTACAGTTTACTGGAAGAGCATCAGGTGTTGTTTTATGATAGTAGTCACACTGCATTAAGTACAGAACAGACCTGTGTAGGAGGTAGCATTAGTACTCTATTTTATAAACAAGGAAACTGATACAGAAGTTGAGAAAAATGCCCAGGGTCAATGAACTAGCAGGGCACAGAGGAAGAGTCCTTTGAGCTAGGCCCTCAGATCTCAGGGCTGAGGTGCCACACACCTCAATATACATATGTACATTGGCACAAATAAACTGTAAAACATTCTTGTAACAATCTTTTTTGCTGCAAAGGGCCTAGTTGTTTTCCTTCCTGCAATGTTGGGAATCCGATCCATTTGGGTATCACACATGCTAGGCAAACTCTACTACATCTCAAGTCCGAGACCCACTTCTTACTTCAATATGGAGGGTTAGGATCACACTCTTAACTAATCTCAAGACTTGGGGCTGGGAAGGTGGCTCAGTGGTAGAGCGCATGCCTTGCATGCCAGAGGCCCTGGGTTCGATTCCTCAGCACCACATAAGCAAAAAGAAAAAAGCCAGAAGTGGCGCTGTGGCTCAAGTGGTAGAGCGCTAGCCTTGAGCTGAAGAGCTGAGGGACAGTGCCCAGGCCCAGAGTTCAGGCCCCATGACCGGACCCAAACAAACAAACAAACTAATCTCAAGACTTCCACTAAAGATAAGCTTCTCAATGGCTACCCAGAGTCTTTTTTCCCTTTTATTCAATAGCATACCCTAAAACAGAAATGATGACCAAATGGGGGAACATTAGAGTTAGGGATCCCTGCCCCCATTCATTCTCACACTGAATCCAGTCTCACACTGAAGAAGCCCAGGCAGAAAGAAAAGATTGCCCCAAGGGATAGCAGCTCCATCTGAGAACTAGTCTCATTCCAGGAATGACAGGAGCTACTTCCTCTTCTTAGAAAAGTAGGAAAGTCTTAAGGACAGATATTATAGTCTGCCATCTCAGGAAGGCTGGTAGGCAAACTATGGTAATGATCTCACTCAGAAGAAGATAGGGGAGCAAAGGAAGTGCCACCTTCAGTTTAAGGCCTAAACCAGACTTTCCGTTTTCCTGTCATTTTTCATTTTAATCTTGGGAATGGTAATAATTTTTTTTTTCCTGGCCAATCTTGGGGCTTGAACTCAGTCTGGGTGCTGTCCCTGAGCCTTTCTGTGCTCAAGGCTAGCACTCTACCACTTGAGCCACAGAACTACTTCTAGCTTTTTCTGAGTAGTTTATTGGAGATAGAGCCTCATGGACTTTCCTACTCAGGCTGGCTTCGAACCACAATCCTTAGATCTCTGCTTCCTGAGTAGTTAGGATTACAGGCATGAGCCACCATCTCCCGGCAATAATTCTTAATTAACTGTATTGAAAATGAAGGCTTCGGGGCTGGGAAGGTGGCTCAGGGGTAGAGTGCTTGCCTTGCATGCCTGAGGCCCTGGGTCACCACATAAGCAAAAAAAAAAAAAAAAGAAAAAAGAAAATGAAGGCTTAGCTGGGAACCTGTGTCTCATGCCTGTAATCCTAGCTACTCTAATCCTGGAGATGTGGAGGACTGAGGCTCAAAGCCACCTAAAGGTCTGTGAGACTCTACCTCCAATTAACCAGCAAAATGCTAAACTAGGCATGGCTCAAGTGGTAGACCACTAGCTATGAACATGGAAGTAGAACAAGTACTTGAGGTCTGGAGTTTAAGCCCTGGTACTGGCATGCACACACGCACATGCGTGCGTGTGCACACACACACACACACACACACACACACACACACACAGAAAGAAAGAGAGGTTTAAACCAGGCTCAATGGAATGTGCCTATAACCCTGTTACTCAGAAGGTGGAGAGAGGCAGGAAGATAGGAAGACTGAGAATAGGACTCCAATCTGGATAACAAACCCCAGCACTAAGAGTTGGAGGAGAGGAGAAAAGAGGACAGGGGAAGGGAGGTTGGGGAGAGGAGGGGAAGAGATCAGAGGGGAAGGAGAAGAGTGGGACAGAGTCCAGGCTTCAGGTAGGCTTAGAGGTCTAGTAGAGCCCAGGGTTTAATCCTCAGCAATGAAAAAAAAAATCATCCTAAAATCCATTTTGTTTGCCTTAGCCTTTGAAATTTATTTAGAAAGTTATGTATGCTGCTATATCAGGTTTAGGGCTGAACTTGATGTGCATAAAACATCTCTTGAATAGTCTAGAGGGATTCTGCAGAAATTGGCACAAAGTCAGTAGCATATCCATACATTTCAACCATAGGCTTCCACCCTAGCTGTGATTTAACTTTCTCCAAGATAAACTACGTACAGTTAGATGTGGTTGTGCACATCTGTAATTCTAGCTGAGCAGGAGGGAGAGGTAGAAGAATCATGGTTGAAGACTAACCATGGGCAAAAAGACCCTATCCCCCCCCAAAAGAGGAAATAAGTAAGTAAATACATAAATAAATAAGATAAACCACTCTAGGCAATGATCAGGATGCTAAAGGGTCCCCTTGAAACTCTTCAGAAGGTTTGGATTGCCCCTTTGGTTACCTTACTCTTCCTGGCATCTTCCAATCTAAGTGTTTTCTTTCTCAGGCTCTTCACATGCAGGATGGAGACAAGAACTGCCTGGTTGCCCGCTCAAAGTGCTACCTGAAGATGGGAGAGTTGGAGAAGTCTCTAAAGGATGCTGAAGATTCACTGAAGACTGACCCAACCTTCTGCAAGGTGACTGCTGGGATGGGAGGACTCGGTCTTGCACTTACCACTGGCCATTGTCCACAGCAACCTCTGGTTGCCCATAGTTGAAGAACCAGCTAGACAGCCTGGTGTTTGATGCCATTTTCTCTTCACGAGTCACAGGTCCCGGGCCTTGTCCTCTGTCTCCTATTTCTAATTCTGTTCTATTCCTATTTCATGACTGTTACATTCTACCTTACCTCCTCAGTCCTGTAAGGCCTTGCCTGTCTACCTGGTCTCGACTTTCTCTCATTGCAGGGAATTTTACAAAAGGCTGAGACACTGTACACCATGGGCGACTTCGAGTTTGCCTTGGTTTTCTATCATCGAGGCTACAAGCTGAGGCCTGATCGAGAATTCAAAGTGGGGATTCAAAAGGCCCAGGAAGCCATCAACAACTCTGTGGGAAGTGAGTGACCCTTGGGCTATGTATGCTCTTACCTAGCAAGGCTCTTGGGATGTTTAGGTTTAGGGAAAGGCCTGAGGTGTAGAGTGTGAGCTTACACTGCCAGGCTGACAGTGTCTTATACTTGGATTTGGCTGATACGGATGCTGTCGAGGATTAAAATCTGTCCACTGGGTGACCAACCCCGAGGAGACTAGACACTGGAGTGTATAGTTTTTTCCTCAAAGCCACATTAAAACGGTGGCTTTGCAGTCAGCCTGTCTTTAGCCTGGAGTCACAGAATAGAAAAGGGGTCCTGGCCTAGTCCAGGCTAGGCCCTGGCTTCTTTTCCCCCATGGGCAGGTGTCATCCAAGGGCTGGTTTTACCCATCACCTTGATGGTAGGGGGAGGAGACAGACAAGTAAGAGCTTGCTCCTGTGGGCTGCAGGGTGTGGGACAGACTTTCCCCTAGGCACCAGGCCTTCTTCTATTTGCAAATCTAACAGCCATGGCCTTGGGCTAGTGGGAGTTGTCCAACTGTTAAAAGAATATTATACCAAATGTCATTTATGTTCTAGTCTGGTTCAGGGCCAGCTTTGCCACAACCTCCACCAATCAGCCTGCCAAGGACAGCCATTTCCACATACAAATAATGTCACAGGTCATACCTGAGAGGCTTGACTAAGCTGAACTCCAGCTTCTGTCTTTGCAGGTCCTTCTTCCATTAAGCTGGAGAACAAAGGGGACCTCTCTTTCTTAAGCAAGCAGGCAGAGGTAAGGTTCCTGGTTCTGAAACCACGTGTGCCTGTGTATCACAAGTCCTGGTTACCCTCTTGTTTGGGGACATGTAGGTCCTGCCCATACAGGTAGCCCAGCCCACAGGCCTGCCGCATTTCATAGTTCTCAGCACACAGGTCCTGGAGGAGGAATGTGGAGTCCCAGACTCTGGGGCCAGGCTGGTTCTTCTGTGCTCCTTGTTGAGGCTCTGTTGGGTGTTGCTCCATTTTCCCAGAGTATGAAAGCCCAGCAGAAGCCTCAACCTATGAAGCAACTCTTATACAGCACCAAGACAGAGACCAAGCGGAAGGGTTCGCTCAAGAGCGAAAAGACCGTCCGCCAGCTGCTGGGAGAGCTCTACGTGGACAAGGAGTATTTGGAGAAGCTCCTGTTGGATGAAGGTTTCAGACCCTTTGTGGGCAACAGGGACTAAGAAAACAGGTGGTGAAGGAAATTTGGGGTGGATGCCTAGTGCATGAACCAGAGGCAGATCCTGCCATGTAATGTCTGTCAACGTGTATCTGGGCACAGGTTTTGCTAGCATTCTTAACTTACAGATAAGGGAGCAAAGCTCACACAGAGCTAGGCAAGGACGTGGTTCATAGTCAAATCCCAGAAGCCAGTGCTCTGAAGCACAATAGTACCACAGGAAAGACCTGATATGTCAGTCATCTTTACTGTCACGGTGACAAAATACCTGAAATCATCAACTTAGGAAAAAAAGAAAGCTTTATTTTGGTTGACCGTTCCAGAGGTGTTATAGTCAGGTAGCTTTTTTGTTTTGGGACCTATGGTAAAAGAGAATATCATGGTGGGAAGCATGTATTGCTCCAAAGAGAGCTGCCCACCTCATGATACCCAGAAAGCAAAGAGAGAAGGGATAGGAATCCCAATATCCTTTTCCTGGATGTTCCCCCAGTGACCTAACTTCCTCCCATTAGGTCTCATCAACTCAAGGTTCCACCACCTCTCAGTAGCACCATCAGCTGGAATCAAGCGTTAACATGCAAGTCTTGGGATATATTTTAGATCGTAGTCCCTAGAGGGCCATCCCTTGAGCCTTCAATCTGCACAATGAGCAAAGGAAACCTGGTAACAGGTTCTAGAATCGCATCACATGCGATACTATAACACTGCAACCCCTCATTTCATAGATAAGGAAATAGAATTTGCTAGGCGCTGGTGGCTCATGCCTATAATCCTAGCTACTCAGGAGGCTGAGATCTGAGGATTGCGGTTCAAAGCCAGCCTGGGCAGAAAAGTCCCTGTGAGACTCTTTATTTCCAATTAACCACCAGAAAACTAAAAGTGGTGGTGTGGCTCAAAGTGGTAGAGCGCTAGCCTTGAGTAAAAAGAGCTCAGGAACAGTGCCTAGGTCCTGAGTTCAAGGCCCACGTCCAACAACCAAAAAAAATAAAAAAAAAAAAAAAAAAGGAAATAGAATTTACTGCATGCATAGGATGACAAGCAAGTTAGTGACAGCAGAACTCTATCTAACCCTCTTTCCACCACACTCTGCTGCCAATGACTAGACAGAGTTTGACAAAGCCTTGAAATGGCTGTCTCCCATAAGCTTGGGAATGGGAGTATTGCTATGAGCTGATAAGCCTGAGCAGGGGTCATCCTTGAAGCAAATGCCTCCATTCCAGAACTGGTGTACCAAGGTCATCTTCAGGGTTCCCTGTAGGGTTGTGACACAGTTCACTGCTGCCACATATCCTTGGTAACAGGCCTGAAAGCTTCCTGCTCTCCAGAGGACCTGCTTTGGAGGGCAGGAGTAGACTGAGCAATACCCCCAAGTGGCCTTGCAGCATTGGGGCCAGCTTTTATCTCTGGCCAGGCTGTGGAAAGGACATGGGCACACCCCTCTAGCTCCCAGCATGCACCAGCATACTTGGCACCTGGGCAATCACTGGGTACTTGCAAACCTGGACTAGATTTTGCATTTAGGCTCATTTTCTTCTGAGACCACAGCTCAAGAGGGGAATCCCTGAGGATTGGGATTTCCTAGAGATAGCTCCTTATCAGCTTGCCATGAATGCCCTGTACCAAGGGAGTATCTGAAAGGGGTCTTCTGGCCTCAACCTAAAGCTATTCTGCCCCAACAAGCTCTCAACTGTTCCCATACATCTAACCAAAGTTCTGACGAAGAGGTCCCACAGTAGAGACACACCTCCCCAAGCCTAGATAGGCGGCACCTCCTATAGACAACTGTTGTGATTGGTGTCTTCTCACACTCCTTTCTCACAGAACTCACCAAAGGGACCATCAAGAGTGGCCTGACCGTGGAGGACCTCATCATGACAGGCATCAATTACCTGGACACCCGCTGCAACTTCTGGAGGCAGCAGAAGCCCATCTACGCCAGGCAGCGGGACCGGAAGTTGATGCAAGAGAAATGGCTGAGGGACCGTAAACGCCGTCCCTCAGAGACAGCCCGCTACATCCTTAAGAGCCTGGAGGACATCGACATGTGTGGGTAGTGTTCTCAGAGGGACGGGGCGGGACTTCCGGCCCTTGCCAGGTAGGGAGGAAGCAACTGAGGAGCCTGAGGCTCAGCCTCTTCTCACCTGTGGGGGGAGGGATGGTGAGGGGGAGCAGCCCCATCAACTACAAGCAGGCTACCCTCCCTCGCCCCCACATCACCACCTTCTCTGCCCAGTGCTGACCAGCGGCAGTGCGGACGGGAGTCTTCAGAAGGCAGAAAAAGTGCTGAAGAAGGTACTGGAGTGGAACAAAGAAGAGGTGCCCAACAAGGATGAACTGGTTGGGAACCTGTACAGCTGCATAGGGAACGCCCAGATTGAGCTGGGGCAGATGGTAGCAGCCCTGCAGAGCCACAGGAAGGACCTGGAGATCGCCAAGGAAAAGTGAGTGCCTCGGGGTGGCCAGGGCCCAGGCCTGCCAAGGAGTGGGATGAGGGGCTCTTGCCCAGATTTTGTTGTTGTTATGGGGACTTAGCTCCCATAATCTGCCCTGTATGACTAAGGTAGTGTTCACCTGCCCAGGACCAAGGGTAGAAGACAAACTAAGACTGTTAAGTGGTGTGTGTGTGTGTGTGTGTGTGTGTGTGTGTGTGTGTGTGTGTGTGTGTGTGTGTGTGTGTGTGTGTGTGTGTGTGTGTGTGTGTGTGTGTGTGTGTGTGTGTGTGTGTGTGTGTGTGTGTGTACTAGGGCTTGAATTTAGGGCCTGGGTGATGTCCTTTAGTTTTTTTCCACTCAAGGCTGGTGCTCTATCACTTGAGCCACAGCTCCACTTCTGGCTTTTCTTTCTTTCTTTTTCTTTTTCTTTTTTTGATGGTTAATTGGAAATAAGAATCTCTCAGACTTTCCTGCCTAGGCTGGCTTTGAATCATGATCCTTAGATCTCAGCCTCCTGAGTAGCTAGGATTATAGGTATAGAGTCACTGTTGCCTGGCTAATTTTTGTGTGTGTGTGGCTACAAAAAGGAGCATCATGGTTCAAAATTCCAAAAAGCTTTCAGTGGCCTGGCTCATCGGGGTATTTTTATTCTTATATCGTCTTAACAAGCATGCATCAAGACCTAGACCTGCCAGATACTACTAGACACAGGAACACAACAGTGACCAGACATTAGGGTCATTTCCCTGCAGATGTCAGAGAGATAGCCACACTGATGCTTGATTGTAATTGTGATAAGTATAAAAAGTAAAAGCATGGGATCTACTTCTATGAGAAATGTCTCCAGGAGTTGTTGCCTGGCCTAGGGAGCACATGATCTCTGGGAAGGCCTGAGGCAGAAGGAAGCTTAAGACTGGAGAGAGCGCTGAGCAAGTATGGTCAGGCCAAGAGGAGGGAGGAGAAAGTGGGTGGGGTGGGGTTAAGCAGCACCCTGCAAACTTTGGTGCTGACCCAGAGTATGGGTTCTGGAGTCATGCAGACCTAGGCTTCGGAACTAGCACCACCCAGCTGTGGGATCTGGGGAAGTCACTTCAGTGTTTCTTCCTCAGCCCAGGAGACATAATAGTTCCTACCCTAGGGTGGACAGGAGGATGGAATGCAGAAACACATGTCAAGAACTTAGGCCACAGAGCTGGAGATGTGGAACAGTGTTAGAGCACTTGCCTGGCATCTAAAGGCCCAGGGTTCAACCCCCAGCCCTGAAAAGAAAAAAAAGGAGAGCAAGAAAGAGAGACCAAGTATTCATAATGATAGCAGTATCATCTCTTCCAGAAATGAGCTCCTCTTAAGACTTGAGGGTTTCCTGAGAAGGAGCCATTACTTTCTGGGAATCCTGGTTCCAACCTTTAAGGGCCACTTCCCAATTCTCCCATGATGCCATGTGTTAATTTTTCATTGCTGTGACAAGATAAGCAACCCCAAGCAGGAGAGACAAATGTTGCCTTACCATTTTAGAAGCTTCAGTTCACTGTGGGCTTGTTCCGTTGCTCTTAGCACTAAGGCAAGGAGAAAAGTCATGGAGTAGGACATGGTGGAAAACTACTCACTTCTTGGTAGCCAGGAAGCAGAGAGAGAAAGAAGCCAAGAATGAAATGCACTCCCTTTTCCTCCATGGACATGCCTAACAACAACTCACCTCTTCCAACCAGGCCCCACCTCCTAATAGCTCCTTTAGTACAAACTTACCAGTGGATTAACCCAGTGGTGATGCTAGCATCACGACCCAGCCACTTCTCCATAGCACTATCAGCTGAGGATCAAGCTTTCAACACATGAGCCTTCTAAGGGGACACTTTATATTCCAGCCATAACACCTCATTTTCACTCAGTACCTTTAGCCACAGCTGCTACTCACCTCTCACTGTCTCTGTCTGGCTGCTCTCACACATATCCAGAGATACACTATACTTCATCTATCAACTCTCCTCTCTTTGTTCTTTGCTTGCAGTTGGCTCTCCCTGGAGGCCCTCTCAACTCCCACCCCTGCACTGCCAGCCTCCAGCACCCATCGATTGCTCAGATTTCCTGACTACTCCTGTCTCCTGCTCTTTTCTCTTCACTTAGCTATACCCCAGATGCCATCGGCGGCTCCTAGTTGGTGTCTCCACAGCACTGATCAGGAAAACAACCACATTCAAGAAGTAGGAGACAAAAGAAAAAAAACCCCAGGGTTGAAGACAGATATGTCTTTGATTCCTGGCTCTCACTTAGAGTAGTATGAACTTGATTGTTGCTCCTCACCTCTATTTCTTCACCTCCAGTGAAGGCATAAGAATACCCACTGACAGGGATTGGGAATTTATGTAAGATGTGAATGTAAGAGCTGGGAATGTGGCTCAGTGGTAGAGTGCTTGCCTAGCATGCATGAAACCCTGGGTTTGATTCCTTGGTACCACATAAACAGAAAAGGCTGGAAGTGGTGCCGTAGCTCAAGTGGTAGAGTATTAGCCTTGAGCAAAAGAAACTCAAAGACAGTGCCCAGATCCTGAGTTCAAGCCCTTCCCTCCCCCCAAAAAAGACGTGAATGTAGATAGTACCTTGGATCCAGCCATCACTCATGGAGATTACTTCTGGCCAGATTTCTCTGCCTAGCTCAGACCTATAACCTTTTCCTCAGAAGATCTCATAAGAATCTCAAACATAGTCTGCTCAAATCAGAATCCCTTGTTAATGCCCCCAAACTTCTTGTTCCAGGGTTCCCTAAGCCTAAAGATGATACCTGGGCCACTCACACCCCAAGCCAGAAGTCTCCTCCCCTGTTCATAACCTTGGCCAATCATATCTTGTGTGTATCTTCCGTTTCTTTCCCACAACTCAGCCCAGACCCTCCTTAACTTGTCATTTTCTCTGACCTAGGCTTCCTGCAGTTTCGCTGGCTCTGCCCTGAAAGATCAACCAAGTGCTTAAGATGAAGTGCTAGTGCCCCACTCAGCCAAGACTACCCTGTGATTTTGTTTTTATCTGTGTCAGTCCTGGGGCCAGAACACTCTCCCTTAGTACAAAGCTAAGGGAGTTCATAAGAGTCTTATGGTCTTCCCTACCCAGGTTGGCTTCAAATTATAATCCTCAGATCTCAACTTCCTGAATAGCTAGGATTATAGGAATGAGCCACCATTGCCCGGTCAGCCTACTCTTCTTGTCCTGACTTTGCCTGCACTTGACCAGGCTTTCTCTGGGCTCCAGGCAGCCTGTGTACCTGCCAGCACAGAGCTCTGCTGCAGGCCTTAGACTCCTCATAGGGTCACTGGCATTGTGCCTCCTGTGGGTTCCTTTCACCTGCACTTGTCAATCATTGCCACCAGAGCTGGGGGGGGGAGGGGGGAGGGATATAGAGCTCTCACCCCAGTGCTCCTCTCTGCAGGCTTCCTGTTTGCCCTTTCAGACTTTGAACTGTGGAAGGGGCTCTTGTATTCCAGCACCTGGCATATAAATGGCACATAAGTGTGTGCTAACTGACTAAATAAAGGTGTTCCTTAACAATGCTCCTTCCTATTTCATGCCAAGCCAGCCTCACCTCCAGAGTCTAGTTAAACATGTAAATTCTGCATGTCTCTCTCCCCATATACTTGTCTGAGTATGGCTTCTTCAGGACCTATGCCCTTCATTTATTTATTTCTTAAGTACTTAAAGACTTGATTGTGCTTCTTCCCATTGCTGCTGTGTATTATTGTTATTATTATTATTATATTATTATTTTAATGCTAGGGATCATTGCATCATTCTGCCACTGGTGGTGATAGGTCTCTTTCTTAGCATGTATGAGGCCCTAGATTGATTCCCCAGTACCAGGGGAAAAAAATAACCGATACCAAGGGAAACTTTTTTTTTTTTTTGCCAGTTGTGGGGCCTGAACTCTGGACCTGGGTGCTGTCCCTGAGCTCTTCAGCTCAAGGCTAGTGCTCTACCACACCACTTGAGCCACAGAGCCACTTCTGGCTATTTCTGCTTATGTGGTGCTGAGGAATCGAACCTAGGGCCTCAGGTATGCAAGGCAAGCGCTCTACCACTGAGCCACCTTCCCAGCCCAGGAAACTTTTTTATGATAAATTATGATTGTTCATAGTCCATCTGCTTGCCACTTGAAAGCCAATACTTGGGCTGGTGCAGGAGCTAAGGAAGAGAGGGAGGGAGGGAGAGGAGAGACAGAGGTTGGAAGGAAGGAACCAACAAATGAAAGAAGGAAATCCAGCTAATACTTGGAAGAAGGAGTTGATGGTGGGAAAGAAATAGGGTTTATTGAAGATGCAGCACCCTGAAAAGATGGAAGGATCTACCTCCCTGGGCTAGTTTTTTAGACAAACACTGCTTTTCTGCAAGTTAAACTTTGCATGATTAATATGCTTCATGTTCTTTGGTATACAGCACTAGAATCAGGAGGGGCATTCCACACTCTGACTTTGAGTTGCCAGTGTCAGGGTTTTACACATATATATGGACTATTTTGTAGTTAATGTCTTCATTGTTTAGTTGGGCCTTTCTTTAGAATTTAGGATGATAGGCAAAGGGAGGGACAGTCAAAGAACAAGATAAAAAGATGTGGACAGTGTATTGAGACCTGCAAAAACGTTTTTTTAATTATATGAATAAATTTGAAGTCTTTGGTTGTATCTTTCTGCCTCTCTCTCTCTCTCTCTCTCTCTCTCTCTCTCTCTCTCTCTCTCTCTCTCTCTGAGATGGGATTGAATTTAGGGCTTGAGATTAGGTAAGTAAACATTACCACTTGAGCAATGCCCGTGGGACCTTTCTGTTTTAGTAATTTTTTGTGTGTGTGTGTCAGCCCTGGGGCTTGAACTCAGGGCCTGGGCACTCTCCCTGAGCTTCTTTTGCTCAAGGCTAGCACTCTACCACTTGAGCCACAGCGCTACTTCTGTTTTTTTTCTGCATATATGGTACTGAGGAATAGAAGCCAGGGCTTCATGCATGTTAAGCAAGCACTCTACTACTAAGCCACATTCCCAGCCCTGCTTTAGTAATTTTTAAGATAGGATCTTCTACTTTTTGCCCTTACTAGTCTGGGACGGTGATCTTTCCAATTTCTGCCTCCTGAGTATCTGGCATTACAGGCATGAGCCACTGAGCCAGCAAAAATTTCCCTCTTTATCTCATTGTCTTATTGATGTAAATTCCATAAAGGGAACTTACACAAATAAAGGGACATCTTTACAAGTTACCCATTTATTGTCCTCCAGAAAAGTCCCCATAATGCCATATTGGCCCAGGGCACTAAAGGAACTGTGTATCACAGCCTTGTACCTTGTCCCTTCACCTAGAACCCCTAATGTCCAAGACCTGTATTCTCCATTTCCAGTTTCACAGTGTTCCAAAAAGCCAATTTCTGGGAGAATGGCTCATTTTGTCTCTTCTCCACAGTGACCTTCCTGATGCAAAATCAAGAGCCCTCGACAACATTGGCAGAGTTTTTGCCAGAGTTGGGAAATTCCAGCAAGCCATCGACACGTGAGTGCCCTGAGAACTACCTTCATCCTTGTGGGGCTGGGACTCCCCTCCATCGCTCTAGGATTCTATTCTGGAATGCCAGGAAAAGTGTTATCAGAAGACTTGGGCTTGGTTCTTGGCTCTGCTCTGTGACCATTGGTAAACCATGGTTTGGTTATTTTTGTTGTTTGTTTGTTTGTTGTTTGCTGGTCTTGGGGCTTAAACTCAGGGCCTATGAATTGTCCCTGAGAATTTTTTTGCTCAAGCCTTGCACTCTATCACTTGAGCCACAGTTCCACTTCCTGCTTTTTTGGTAGTTAATTGGAGATAAGAGTCTCATGGGCTTTCTGGTCCAGGCTGACTTCAAACAATAATCCTCAGACCTCAACCTCCTGAATGATTACAGGCATGACCCACTGGCATCCACCCAAACCACATTGTTTGTTGTTGTTGCTAGAGATCCAACCCAAGGCCTTGTGCCTGTAAAGCAGGTGCTCTAATAAGAAGCTACTTTCCCATCCCTAATAAGCCACTTTTAAACATTTTTATCACAAATTCCCAGTAATCAGAAGCAGAGTACTTCTTAGGTAGAGGTGCCTACACAGGAGGCTGAGATCTGAGGACTGAGGATCAAAGCCAACTCAAGCGCATTGGTGGTGGTGGTGGGGTGGCTGGGAAGGTGGTTCAGTGGTAGAGTGCTTGCCTTGCATGCATGAGGCCTTGGGTTTGACTCCTCAGCACCACATAAGCAGAAAAAGCTGGAAGTGGCGCTATGGCTCAAGTGGTAGAGCACTCACCTCGAGCTAAAGAGCTGAAGGACAGCGTCCAGGCTGAGTTCAAGCCCCACGACAGACCAAAAAAAAAAAGCCAAGTCAAGCAGGAGAACTCTGTGACACTCTTTTTTTTTTTGTCTGTCCTGGGGCTTGAACTCAGCCTGGGCGCTGTCCCTGTGCTCTTCAGCTCAAGGCTAGCACTCTACCACTTGAGCCACAGTGCCACTTCTCTATTGGAGATAAGAATCTCATGGATTTTCTTGCCCAGGCTGGCTTTGAACCAAGATCCTCAGATCTCAGCCTTCTGAGTAGCTAGGATTACAGGCGTGAGCCACCGGCACCCAGCCCCTGTGACACTCTTATCTTCAATTAACCCCTAAAAATCTGGAAATGGAGCTGTGGCTCAAATGGTAGATCACCAACCTTGAGCAAAAAAGCTAAGAGGCAGTGCCCAAGCCCTAATTGCAAGCCCTAGTACTGGCACACACAAACAAAGATGTACTTAGAGCCAGGCACTGGTGGCTTACTACTGTAATTCTAGCTATTCCGGAGGCTGAGATCTGAGGATAACTGTTTGAAACCAGCCCAGACTGGAAAGTTCATGAGACTCCTATCTCCAATTAACCATCAAAATGCCAGAAGTAGAGCTGTGGTAGAGAGTTAGCCTTTAGCAAAAACACTCATGGACCGCGTCCAGTCCCTGAGTTCAAGCCCCAGGATTAGTGTAGACATACACATACACACATACAATAAGCATTATTGTTATTATTATTATTATTATTGTCGGTTGTAGGGCTTGAACTCAGGGCCTAGGTGCTATCCCTGAGCCTCTTTGTGCTCAAGGATATAGCTCTACCTCTTGAGCCACAGTGCCACTTCTATTTTTTGAGTGGTTAATTGGCGATAAGAGTCTCCTGGGGACTTTTCTGCTCAGGTGGGCTTTGAATCTCAATCCTGAGATCTCAGCCTCCTGAGTAGCTAGAATGACAGGTATGAGCCACCAGTGCCTGGCCAATATTTTTTTTAAGAAAAAGATAAGCAAAGCTCCTGCTAAACAGGAGAGCACCTTCACATATTGTTTCTAATTTTTTTTTTTTTTGATCAGTTGTGGGGCTGAACTCTGGGCCTGGGTTCTGTCCCTCAGATCTTCAGCTCAAGACTAACACTCTAACATTTGAGCCACGGTGCCACTTCTGGCTTTTTCTGCTTATGTGGTACTGAGGAATTGAATCCAGGGCCTCATAATGCAAGGCAAGCACTCTACCACCAAGCCACCTTCCCAGCCCTGCTTCTAAATATTATTCCCAACGATGTTGACAAATTTGACCCCATAGATGCTACTAAAATACTTTTAGGAGTTTTGAAATAGGTTAATGCTTATTGAATCCATCCTGGACTGCAGTTAGAGAGAGAAAGTTTTATTCTGCTGCCCAGCAGAAAGCTTTGGTCTCCTTGTCCACATGCTAAGTGTAAGGGGAGGCTGACCCTGGTTCTTCTCCTCTCCAGGTGGGAAGAGAAGATCCCTCTGGCCAAAACTACCCTGGAAAAGACCTGGCTGTTTCACGAGATCGGTCGCTGTTATCTGGAACTGGACCAGGCCTGGCAGGCGCAGAATTATGGTGAGAAGTCTCAGCAGTATGCAGAGGAAGAAGGGGACATCGAGTGGCAGCTGAATGCCAGCGTTCTGGTGGCACAGGCACAAGGTACAACCTTAGAGAGGCCCATGTGCCATTTCTCAGCCTTCAGACCCATGTCACACTATTTTGACCAGCATACTCCAAGTGCCTGCTTCAAGCAAATCACAGTTAGAGGCATGGGACACCCACCCACCCACCCCCACCAAGAACTGTTCCTGCCAATAAGGAGCTCAGCTACAGACCAACACAGCAACATGTCATCTTCAAAGTATTAAGTCTATTTTGCAAAATCCACAAGGCAGGCTACTCTGTAAAGAAGAGAAGTTTGTTTGCCTTATAGTTTAGAAGGTTTAGAGACATGGCACTGGGGCTTCTTTTTTTGTTGTAATTGTTGGTCATGGGGCTTGAACTTGGGACTGGGCGCTGTCTATGAGCTCTTCTGCTTAAGGCTAGCACTCTACCACTTTGAGCCACAACACCACTTCTGGTTTTCTGGTGGTTAACTGGAGATGAGTCTCATGGATTTCCTGCTTGGGCTGACTTTGAACCATGATCCTCAGATCTCAGCCTTCTGAGTAGCTGGGACTACAGGTGTGAGCCACCAGTGCCCAGATCTGGAGGACTTCTTTCTTGACTTCACTGTAGCAATGGCAGGAACGCCTATTAGAACAGGTAATCGTATGGCCAAACAGGAAGCCAGAGAGCTGGATGCAGCCCAAACTTTTATAACAACCTTTTCTTGAATGTTACCAAGGAACTGCATGAAAACTACCCTAATTCCTGCTGAGAGTTGGGCTCCCGGCAACCTGCCATCTGACTGTTCTGCATCACCACTCTGAGGTCCAAGCTCCCAGCACTTAAATCTTTTATGAAAGACACAGAACTTAAGCTGTACATAGTAACAGAGCCTATGTGTTAAAACACTTTCTCTGTGAATGTGGGGTTTCTGGCTTGCTAGGCAAGTGTCTACTATACCCTAGCTCATTGTCTAGTGCCGGGGTGTGCGCGTGCGTGTGTGAGCACACACACATGATACTAGGGGCTGGAACTCCAAGCCTTGTACTCTTTTTTTTTTTTGTCAGCCATGGGGCTTGAACTCTGGGCCTGGGCACTGTCCCTCAACTCTTCAGCTCAAGGCTAACACTCTACCACTTGAGCCACAGTGCCACATCTGGTTTTCTGGTGGTTTACTGGAGATAAGAGTCTCATGGAGTTTCCTGCCTGGGCTGGCTTTGAGCCATGATCCTCAGATCTCAGCCTCCAGAGTAGCTGGGATTACAGTCGTGCCTAAGACTCCTGAACTGTGAGGCCTGGCTCAAGCCTTGTACTCTTGCTTGGCTTTTTCACTCATATCTGGCACTCTGCCACTTAAGCCACACCTCCACTTCTGGCACCTTGCTGGTATTTGGAGATAAAAAGTCTCTGGGATTTGTCTATCTAGGCACCCTTAGAACTGAGATCCTCATATCTCAGCCTCTTGAGTACCTAGGATTACAGGGATATGAGCCACTAGTGCTCGGCTTTCAAAAGAGCCTTTCTTTTTTTTTTTGTTGGTCATGGGGCCTGAACTCTGGGCCTGAGCACTGTCCCTCAGCTCTTCAGCTCAAGGCTAGCGCCCTACCACTTGAGCCAAAGCGCCACTTCCAGCTTTTTCTGCTTATGTGGTGCTGAGGAATCGAGCCCAGGGCCTCATGCATGCAAGGCAAGCACTCTACCACTGAGCCACCTTCCCAGCCCCTCGAAAGAGCCTTTCTGAGTGATGGAAATGTTGTTAAACTGGATTGTGGTGGCCATTGCACAATTCTACACAGTTATTGAAAGTTATCATACTGTAATGTTGGTATATCCTTATAACATGCTGAATTCTACGAGGTGCAAATTATAAAACCCTGCAAGGCAAGGCGAGGCGATACACGCATTTAGTCACAGTTCAGGAGTCTTAGGCAGGAGGATTGCTTGAGCCTAGGACTTCAAGATCAACCTGGGCAACATAGCAAGCCCTCATCTCTTAGTAAATGCATTTAGATTTTTAAAGACGTAAACATCAAAGCTCTTTTCTTCTAAGGTTTCCCACCTTAGAAGGGACATAGAACAGCAGAAAGCAACTGGATGCCTTTTTGTTGTAAGGATTAAGACAGAGGGAACTTCATTTTTCATGCTGTGAAACTGGCTCATTTGAGAAACCTTGTTATCTCCTTAATCCTGATTTCTCCTGAGGTATGATAAACAGCTTAATTTCAGCATATGACTTTGAACAAGTCATGGTTGTGAGTTGCTTAATTCAAAACAATAGCTTATATAACTTTTTTTGGTGTGTATGCCTGTACTGGGATTTGAACTCAGGGCCTGAGTGCTATCCCTTAGCTTTTTCACTCAAGGTTTGTATTTTGCTTCTGGAGACACAGCTCTACTTCTGGCTTTTGGGTGGTTAATTGGAGATAAAAGTTTCACAAACTTTCTTACTCTGGCTAAATTCAAACTGTGATCATCAGACAGCCTCCCCAGTAGCTAGGATTACAGTACACCACTGGTTCCCAGATATGTAGTGTCTTTGAAAAATTTGAATGACTATTTAAAAAGTATCTGTTTCAGCTCATAACTGTAATCCCAGCTACTCAAGAGACTGAGCTCTGAAGATCTTGGTTTGAAGCCAGACAAATCCAAGAGACTCATCTCCAGAAAAACCAGCAATAGAGCTGTGGTTCAAGTAGTAAAACAATCCTTCCCAGAGTTCAGGCCCCATGACCGGACCCCAAAAAAAAAACAAAAACAAAAACATAATCCTTGAGCAAAAACGCCAAGTAAGAGACAAGCCCTGGTACCCACACACAAAAAAGTATCAATTTGCTGGGCACTGGTGGCTCATGCCTATAATCTTAGCTACTCAGGAAGCTGAGATTTGAGGATTGTGGTTCAAAGCCAGGCCAGGCAAGAAAATCTGAGACTCTTCTCTCCAATTAATCACCTAAAAACTGGCAGTGGATCTGTGACTCAAAGTGGTAGCACACTAGCTTTGAGGAAAAGAAGCTCAGGGACCTGAGTTCAATCCCTATGACCAACAACAACAAAAAAAGTATCCATTTCTTTGGAACAATCGCCAGATTGGACAAGATGAGGTGGTGTTTCCTATCTTGGAGACACATGATGTGTCTAGTGGTCCCTTTTGTAAGATGGCTTCCCCACTCCCTTTGGAAAGCCTAGGATCTAAGGCTCGGGCCCTAGGTTCCAGCCCTGTCTTCAGTGGTGACATGTACCAGGAATGGGGTAAGCAACATGGTGGAGCTGCCCAGGGCTGGGGCTGATGCCCCCTTGCATACACTTCTAAAGGGTCCTGGGAGTAGCTGTGTGTGAGGCCAGGGCTCCCTCGAGGACACACAGTGTCTCATTCTTGCTGTGCCCTCTCCCTTTGCTCTCCAGTGAAGCTCAGAGATTTCGAGTCAGCAGTGAACAACTTTGAGAAGGCTCTGGAGAGAGCGAAGCTGGTCCACAACAACGAGGCCCAGCAGGCCATCATCAGCGTGAGCCTTCATTATCAGCGGGTCTTGGGGTGGAGGGTAGGGTTGGTGGTCAAGCCAGCAGTTCCACAGATGCAGGACACACTCCAGCCATTGGGTTTGAAATGTTTGCTACTCCCATCAGTAGTAAACAACCAATTACACACACACACACACACACACACACACACACACACACTTTTTATTTTAGAAGGTTTATTTTTACTTTTTATTTTTTTTGCTGGTCTTGGGGCTTGAACTCAGGGCCAGGGCACTGTCCCTGAGCTACTCTTGCTCAGGCTAATGCTCTACTAATTGAGCCACAGAATCACTTCCCTCCTTTTTTTTTTTGCTTTTTTTGTTTTGTTTTGTTTTTGTTTTTTGGGGTCCAGTCGTGGGGCCTGAACTCTGGGCCTGGACGCTGTCCCTCAGCTCTTCAGCTCAAGGCTAGCGCCTTACTTGAGCCACAGCGCCACTTCTGGCTTTTTTCTTTTTGCTTATGTGGTGCTGAGGAATCGAACCCAGGGCCTCATGCATGCAAGGCAAGCGCTCTACCACTGAGCCACCTTCCCAGCCCTTGTTTTGTTTTTGAGTTGGGGCCTTGCCTATGTTGCCCAGGCTGGCTTGGACCTCCTGAATTCAAGCAATCCTCCTACCTCAGCTTCCAGGGTAGTCGGAATTGCAGGCCATCACATGTGGTTTTCCATTTTATCTAATGCTGATCAACACCATCCAAGCTGATGTTTTAGACTTCCAGTTTGGGCCAAGCACCATTGGCTCATGTCTGTAATAGTAACTACTCAGAAGGTTGAGATCTGTGGATTGCAGTTCGAAGCCAGCCTGGACAGGAAATTTTGTGAGGCTTGTATTTTGGATTGACCAGCAGGAAGGAAGGAAGGAAGGAAGGAAGGAAGGAAGGAAGGAAGGAAGGAAGGAAGGAAAGGAGGGAGGGAGGGAGGGAGAAAGGGAGAGAGGAAGAGAGGGAAAAAGACGTAGAATTGTGGCTCAAGTATTATAGCACCAACCTTGAGCAAAAAAGTTAAGAGAGAGCCAGGCGCTGTCAGGAGGCTGAGATCTGATGATCATGGTTTGAAACCCAGGCAAGAAAGTCCATGAGACTATGATCTCCAATTAACCACCAAAACACCACAGTTAGAGCTGTGGCTCAAGTGGTAGAGTGCTAGCCTTGAGCAAAGGAAGCTCAGGGACAGTGCCCAGGTCCTGAGTTCAAGCCCTAGGACTGGCATGCACACAAAGTTGAGGGACAGAGTCCAAGTCCTGAGTTCAAATCCCAAATCCCAACACACACACACATACACACACACACACACACACACACACACACACACACACACACACACACACACACACACACACACACACAGACCTGGAGTTTAGAATCTTATTCTTATCTAGGAGACAAGACATGGTATGATTTTGTTACTGGACTTTCAGGGCAAAAGCCCTGGTTTCAGAAGTCTCAAGAGACTAAGGCTTGACTCCTGGTCCCAACGCCAGTCAGGGAGAAATACAGATGAAGGCAGAGGAAGGTTTACCAGAGCGTGGCCCTGGTGGGAAGACCCTCCCTCTCTGGTCCCTCTGGTGTGCTGACATGAAGGGTGACGAAGAAAGTGTGGCAGAGCAGGTCTGGCCTCTGCTCTCATCCATCGTGATCTCAGTTTTGGTTTTGCAGAGAGTTCTGGCAAAGTTGTGGCTATTGCTTGGGGGGTAGTTTCTGTCCCTTATCCTAGAGCTATGTAGTGACCAGTCCTGTAGTGTGTGGAAGTGCAGAGCAGAGGAGAAAGATGGGAAATGAAGGCAGGCACGCCAGGATTCTCCTGCTTTTAGTAGGCCCCAGTGCTTTTCAACAATGGCAGTTTCTAAGGACCTGTTGTAACCTCCTCGCTGTGGGAGAAGGTTCCTGGCTTTTCCCCGTGGGGCTGGGAAGATCTTTGCTAACTTCCCCACTATGGGCCTCTCCAGCCTCCCCTCACCTTGCATTCCCTTGTATTCCAGCTCCAGCCAGAGCTGGCTTCCTGTCTTTTCCTCAATAGGATTTCTTGTGCCTCTTAGCATGGGCCTGGAATGTTCTAAGCTCTCCCTCCCATATCCTTCACCTGACTAACTCCCAGTCAACCTCTAGGCTTCACTTAAATAAAACTTTTTTTTTTCTTTGCCAGTCCTGGGATTTGAACTCAGGGCTGGGCGGTGCCCCTGAGGCTCTTTGTGCTCAAGGCTCTCTACCACTGGAGCTACAGTGCCACTTCTGGCTTTTTCTGAGTAGTTTATTGGAGATAAGACTCATGGCTTTCCTTCCCTGGTTGGCTTTGAACCCCAATCCTTGTATCTCAACCTTCTGAGTAGCTAGTATAAGCATGAGCCATCAGCACCCAGCTTAGATGGGCCCTTTTTTGGGAGGCCTTCACAGACCCTTTAAAGTGGGGTGACAACTTGCCCAAGTGTTTGAAGCCCCCATCAGAGCCCATGAAAATCCATACTACTCCATTGAAATTGCCTAACCTCATGAGGCTGAGTGCCTGTGGCTCATGCCTGTAATCCTAGCTTTTCAAGGAGACTGAGACCTGCAAGATTAAGGTTTGAAGCCAGCCTGGGCCGAAAAGTCCATAAGACTCCATCTCTAATTAATCAGCTAAAATGTTGGACTAGAGGTGAGGCTCAAGTGGTTGAGTACCAGCCCACCAAGTGTGAAAGTCTGAATTTAAGCCCTAGTACCTGCAAAGTAAATAAAGTTCTCAAGGCAGCTGCTGGCCACATTCAGCCATTTAGGTTAAAGTTAATGGAAAGAGTCGGGTGCCAGTGGCTCACACCTGTAATCCTAGCTAATGAGGAGGCTGAGATCTGAGGCTTGCAGTTCATAGCCAGCCTTGGCAAGAAAGGCTGTGAGACTCTTATCTCTAATTAACCACCAGAAAACCGGAAGTGGCGCTGTGGCCCAAGTGGTAGAGTGCTAGCCTTGGGCTAGAGAGCTGAGGGACAGTGCTCAGGCCCAGAGTTCAAGCCCTACAATTGACAAAAAAAAAAAAAAAGTTAATGGAAAGTAAATACAATGTACAATTCAGCTTCTTGGTTACCCTGGCTAGAGTGCTTTCAATAGCCACCATGGGTGATCCATGGGTACTGCATAGCCCGGTTCTAGAATATTCTTTTTGTCATAGAAATTTTCTCTTGGGCGGTGCTTCCTAGACTGTGTCAGGAAGCAGAGAGCAGAGAGGGATCTGGGCTGGTTTGGCCTCTGCTCCTAGAGCCAGCTGCAGAGCCTCAGGCAAGTCAGCTGCAAATGCCACAGGACCTCCCTTCCCACCACACCACTCTCCCCAAGGCCTTCCAACTTGAAACTCTCAACATACTCCTTCCCTGGCTGCACCCCAGTAAGCTAGAATGAATTTAAAGGGGTCCCTGGTTCTCCAAAGCAGGAGAGAAGCCGGAGTGGAACTCGTAGCCACGCACAGGCAACACAACCTCAGGGACCAGAATGGAGAGGTGGCAGGGCCTTGGGACAGGGCCCAGTGGCCTTGACCCAGAAAGAATGTACCCAATTGGAGGCGGGCCTCAGGCCTGCTCTGAAGAACAAGCGCAGGCAGCCAGCCAGGTGGAGAAGGAAAAAACACCCAAGTCAGACCTGGAGGGGCCGGGGCTGGAGGGGGTTGCCCAACCTGCCAGGGGGTACCAGAGACGTTGCCTGACCCACTGGCTCTTTGGTAGGTGAGTATGTGTGGTGTGGCAAATGTGAGGAACTCCAGTGCCAGTGCTAATCTTGCTCCCAGGAGGCCCCAGTGGTGGCAGGCTAGCCCTGACTGCCACACCTCCCGGCTCAGCTGAGGCCTGGCCTTCTGCTGCCCAGGGGACAGTCCCCCCCGTGATGGACTAGGGGAAGGAGGAAGGAGCACTGGCTTCACTGCGGCCCCACAGTATGTGCCCTGACTCAGACATGTGTGTGGTCTCGCCACGATTGTCTCCATGTGACCGCCCCTCAAACTGCAAGTTGCACAGTTCAATGCAACTGATTTTATTTATTTACTTAATGCCAGTCCTGGGACTTGAACTCAGGGTCTGGGCCCCATCCCTTAGCTTTACCCCTCAGGGGTAGCACTCTACCACTTAAGCCATCCATCACTTCTGGCTTTTTGGTGGTTAATAGGAGATAAGAGTATCAGATTTTTCTGCCTGGGCTAGCTTCAAACTGTGATTCTCAGATCTCAGCCTCCTGAGTAGCTAGGATTACAGCCAGCAGGTATTTGTTTTTCTTTCTTTTCTGTTTAGAAATTTTTTTGGGGGGGGGAGGGTCCGGTTGTGGGGCCTGAACTCTGGGCCTGGGTGCTGTTCCTCAGCTCTTCAGCTCAAGGCTAGCGCACTACCACTTGAGCCACAGCGCCACTTCTGGCTTTTTTTTTTTTTTTTGCTTATGTGATGCTGAGGAATCGAACCCAAGGCCTCATGCATTGCAAGGCAAGCACTCTACCACTGAGCCACCTTCCCAGCCCATAGAATTATTTTTAATGATATATATATAATTAATATAAAATATATGTTACAACATTAATACTATAATACATAATAAAATACATTTTTATTATGCTTAGTTATATAAAGGAGTAGCCATTCAACAAATCAGTTTACGAATACAATGGCAGCAGATATTTCTTGAGCATGAGCCAGGCCTAGGTCACCAGGCCCAAAGGTTCCTGGCTGTGGCCCAGCCCTGGTACGGGCTGTAAGGAACTAGGAGAATTTGGAGTGAGAATGTCCCTCTTCCTGGAGGCAGGGCTGGAGGCTGGCCCTGCCATTGGACTTGAGGTCACTTTGAAGGTTGTGCAGCAATTTGAAGGGAAGCAGAGAGAAGGTGTCTGTCTACTGCCCTCCTGACGCCTCATTCATGACTCCTCAAGGGACCCCTCTCCTTCCTGGACTGGCATTTCCAGGCAGAAAGCCTTCCCAGGACAGATCCTGGAGCTACAGCACAACTGCAGATGGTGGCCAGGCTCATGGGCTGCTCAGTAGACATCTCTGAGCACCGCTGCTGCTCTGCCAGTGCTAGCTTCTGGAATCCATGTAAGGAAGAAGGTAGAATCTGCCTTTGAAATGCGTGCAGGCCTGACACAGTGGTGCACACCTATAGTCCCAGCTACTAGGAAAGCTGAAACAAGATGATCACCTGAGCCCAGAAGTTGGAGGCCAGCTAGACAACATAGGGAGACTGTCTCAAATCCAAACCAAACCAGCCGGGCACTGGTGGCTCACGCCTGTTATCCTAGCTACTCAGGAGGCTGAGATCTGAGGATCACAGTTCAAAGCCAGCCTGGACAGGAAAGTCCATGAGACTCTTATTTCCAATAAACCACTAGAAAACCAGAAGTGGCGCTGTGGCTCAAGCAGTAGAGCCTCTCGCCTTGAGCTGAAGAGCACAGGGACAGCGCCCAAGCCCAGAGTTCAAGCCCCACAACCAACAAAAAACAAAAACCAAACCACACAGAGCCCTGTAGGATAAGATTGAAAGCCCCCTCTGGAAGCAGGACAGTCCCCTGCCTGCCTGTCCCTTCCTTGGCTTGCTGCCTTGCTAAGTGCTCAGGAGCACAGAGTGGCTTTGGGTGAAAAGGTAGAAATTAGTCCCAAATGCACATGCATAAGCCCAAGAGGACTGGCGTGTTACTTCCCTGCACTGGTGGGGTGCCTTGCCCCTCTCTAGTGGGGGTGAGGATGGGGTCTCTGGGGCAGGAGTCCTCAGAAGTGGCAGGGACAGCCTTAAGTGAAAAAGCTAGGGACTGAGGCTTGGGTGGGGGAAGAGGCTGAGAGCTCATCCGCTCCCCTGTCCTCCGCAGGCCTTGGATGATGCCAATAAGGGTATCATTGAAGAGCTGAAGAAAACTAACTACAGGGAGATGCTCCAACAACAGACGGGGAAAGGTGAGTCCCAGGAGCTCTGGTGAGGGCGGCTCCAGCACCCCCTCTGCCCTCTCTCCCAGCAGTTGGCCAGGCCAGGGTAATGCTGCCTCCCAAGCCTTCTGATTCACTCACCACCAACAGCCTTGTCCTTTTTCTGAAGCAGACCCGGATGAAGATTCAATTTGCCTTAGGGGTAGGAGCCTGCTCCTGGAACCTGCTCCTTTATGTCTACATCAAATAATTGAGCTCTGGCTGTGCTCCAGGAAGGTGTTAGATTCTGGGGAGATGCCCTCATCTCCCCTCCTGATGGAGCCCCAGCCCCGGGGGGGGCGGGGGGGGGGAGAAAGGCAATCATCAGTACAAGTTTCCTGCATTGCAAGGACGACAGTGGGGGGAGGGGGGGAGAGGGGGCAGTGGAGCGTGAGCCTGGGAGGAGAGGGCCTGGGAGTGGGGTGATGAAGGAAGCTTAGAAGGGAAAGAATTGTCAGCCTTTGGCCCCCAAAGATGCTGCCCAGCCAGGAATCAGTGCCTCACACCTGTTACTTATCCCAGCTGCTCAGGAGACTGACCTCCAAGGGTCACAGTTCAAAGCCAGCCTGGGCAGGAAAGTTTGTGAGACTCTTTAGGTAGAAAAGCCAGGAATGGAGCTGTGGCTCAAGTGGTAGAGCACCAGCCTTGAGCAAAGAAGATAAGGGACAGCACCCAGGCCTGGAATTCAAGCCCAGTATCGCGCGCACACATACATGCATGCACACGCACAAGTGCACACAGTGGTTCCGGTCTTGACCATCTGGCTCGAGTACTCATACTCTTACCACAGCTCCATACTATTTCTTATAATAGCTCCTGTCTGTCTCTCCCTGTGGGGTTCTCGCCCCAGCCATATCACAATGGAGAAGTGTCTAGGAGGACAGAGGCCGCCGCAGAGTCGTGTGTAAGCCCTCCAGGTGCCAAAGGCTGCACTCCTTCCTGATCTCAGCAACAGGAAGTTCCTGGACATCAAAGCAGCCAGATGACAGCCGTTTGTTATCCAGTGCTTGCCACGTGGCAGTGGGATCCCTTCAGAGTCAGGGCCAGGCCTGTGCTCCCACAACCCCTGGCTGCTCTGAGAAGCCACAGGAGGAGACCGCTGGAAAGCCCCAGGTGCTCCAGGCGGCCTCCCCTTTCCTGGTCCCTCCACACCATCATCAGCAAGGCACTGCAAGCTGCTGGCAGCTCCTGGAGCTTCCTTCTCAGGACAGCAGGTGGCAGCATTGCTTATCTTTTCACTTCTAAGCCTCTGGTGACTTGTGACCAAGTGAAGTGACTGCAGGAAAGAATGAGTGAGACTCAGGAGGGGAGCCAGGGCCCTGCGATCATAAAACAGCTGCTCAAGCTGCTCATGTGCATATAGGAAAGCTCCTAATGATGTTTGTTTCCTAGGGACAAGGGGATGGTGGCAGATTGAGGACGCTGAGGAAAAGAACCTGATGTCATTTCCTAGCAACTGTGCTGCTCTTTCCTTTCCCTTTCTTGGTTTTGAATTTGAACTCAGGGCCTTACACAGGCTTCCTAGCACTCTATTACCTGAGATATGCCTCCAGCCTTCCGCCCGCACCCGTATGTGCTTTTCAGTCACACTGTCCTGGGTTCAAGTTCTGGCTCTGCTATTTTCCACTTGCACAGTGTGGCCATTGGGTGATTTCTCTTTTGTCATCTCAGTTCCCTCGACTGCTCCTTGCTGCAGGGACACTGTGCAATTTCATGACGGTGGTCTGGTCTGGTCTGCACAGCCACCCACCTGAGGCCAGGGCAGGGTGGGCACTAGTACCTGAGCAGTAGTGGCTGCCTCTCCTTTGGGGAAGATGTGCTGTCAGTGCCAAGGGACCGAGCTTGTGACAATGGTCCTTCTCCAGGGGACCAGGTGAGGAAGAGATTTTCATAGTCTTTCTGTTGTTTTTCAGAAGAGGACATGTCATTGGCTGAGCTGTCAACATTAGCAATAGCAAAGGACAAGGAGTCAAAAAAAGGACAAAATGACACCATCAAGATGGTAGAGTCGTGGTCCAGAGAGCAAATGGGGAGTGATAAAGAGACAGATGAGGACGAGGACGAGGACGAGTCCAGGGACGCTCTGCAGAAAGTGGAAGCCCAAAAGGACCAAAGAGTCCCCACCGAATCAGAAGAGAAGATGCAGACAGACTCTGACAACAAAGACTCAAGGGACATCTACAGGAGGTCTTCAGAATTAGACCAAAACCTCACAGTAGAATTCAATGGAAAGGATTCAGAAGTCACAGAGAATAAACCTTTAGAAGTCAGCAGAGGAGAGACAACAGTAGGGAAAACAGGAAGCAAAGGGGAAGTGAGAGGCCCTGAATGAAATACCGAATGAAATCCCGGAGGATCTGTGAGTGAAAGCTTCCTAGGTAGCCATGAGCATCCAGAGGTAGGGGGAATCACGGCAGAGGTGGGGACTTAAGTTGAATTTTCAACCGGAGATTTGTTTGAAGTAGGAAAATAAAAAGGGGGACTCTGGCTCCCACAGGCCACTACTATCTTCTCCGTCACTGTTTCCCCATTAATATGTCTCTCGCGTTCACGAACCTTGGGCCTATCATTTTGCCCCCTCACCTCTGCCCATTTTCAACAGGAGACTCTCACAAGAAGAAATGACAATGATGATCCAGAATATTATGACAGTATACAGTAAGGACACTTGTACACCCATGTTCACTGCTGCACTGTTCACCATAGCCATGGTGATAGAAACAACCCAGATACCCTACAAGGGATGAATGGATCAAGAACATGTGATGTGTGTGTGTGTGTGTGTGTGTGATGGAACTTATCAGGAAGAATGACATGTCATTTGTAGGTAAATGGATAATACTTAAGTGAAGTAATTTAAGTGCAGAGAGACAAACTGCCCAAGTTTCTTTTATATGTGGAAGTTAGAGCTAAATTATAAACCTACAAAAACATAGACAGTGTTATATGCATCTATACGGAAACAAATTGGCAACTATGGTATGCTCAGAGGAGGATTCCAGTGGTGTAACTCCTCTGAACAACTAATGAACAAAATGAATGCCCGAAAGCTGAAACTTTTTAGGGGATTGGGGGTGGCGGTAGACCAAGAGGGTTGATGAGTGGAGAGAGGAAAGGTGGACGAATACCGTCATTCAATGTACATATAGAAAACAGAACCATGTAACTTGAGGGGACTGGTGAAACTGGGAAAGGTAAATAAGACAATGGGGTGACACTGGTCAAGTTGCATTGTTTTGTACTCACTCACTTGTTGCGACCATATGGGTGCACCTACTTAAAGATAGATAGATAGATAGATTTTTTTTTTTTGGTTGGTCATGGGGCTTGAACTCTGGGCCTGGGCACTTGTCCCTGAGCTCTTCAGTTCAAAGCAAGCATTCTACCACTTGAGCCACAATGCCACTTCCCGTTTTCTGGCGGTTAATTGGAGATAAGAGTCTCATGGACTTTCCTGCCTGGGTTAGCTTTGAACCTCTATCCTCAGATCTCAGCTCCTGCATAGCTAGGATTACAGGTGTGAGCCACTGATGCCCGGCTAAAGATAACTTTTTCAAAGAAAAAAAATAATAGTTTCAGGGGAGAAAGAAAGGAAAAGGAGAGAAAGATGCTGAGAGGAATGTGGAGTCCGGCAGATGAGCTCAGGGAACCCAGACAGTTGTTGAAAAGAAGGCCTTTCAAGTAGGGATCGTGGACTCACTTTGCTAAGATCCTACTGAAGTCAGGACCCTGGGAATCCAAGCTCTCCAAGCTTGTTTCTGCCTCTACACAGGAGGTGCCTGGCTCAGAGGCTGGCGTGAGGAGCAGGAGCGTCTATCCCAGTACTTTATACCCAGGAGACAAGTGGCTATTCCCTTCAGCACTCAGTGGCTTCACGGGATGTCATTTGTCATCATGCTTCAAGATCAGAGCTGGTGCTGACCTTGGGCTGAGACAGAGCCAGGAATAGGTGACCAGATGAATGAGACATTTCACATGTCAAAATTGCCAGGGTTCCAAAAACTCAGCAAGACAGGCTGGGAAGGTGGCTCAGTGGTAGAGCACTTGTCTTACAAAAACTCAGCAAGATTAATTTTCTTTTTTTTTTTGCTGTGCTAGGGATCAAACCCAGGTCCTTTTGTGTGCTAGGCAAGTGCTCTACCACTGGGCTACATCCACAGCCCTCAAGATGATAAATATTTTAATGAACTACTGTGGGGGTTTTTGTAAAGTGCACAGTGAATAAAACATCAAAATTTAAAGACAGGATTAGATGTTATGCTTTCTTGATCCTGCTTCAGTGGCTTGAATCTGTCCCAGGGGTATGGTAGCGGGGGAGGGGGGAGGGAGAGGAGGTGGTCTGAAATGAGAACCAACAAACCAGAGAAGGGTGGTTGTGTCCCTATTTCAGGAACTAAGCATTGGGAACTAGTGGCTCACACCTGTAATCTTAGCTACTCAGGGAGCTGAGATCTGAGGATCATGATTCAAAGCCAACCTAAACAAGAAAGACTCTTCTCTCCAATGAGAGGGAAGTGGAGTTGTGGCTCAAGTGGTACAGCACTAGCTTTGAACAAAAGAAGCTCAGAGCTGAGCGCTGGTGGTTCACACCTGTAATCCTAGCTACTCAGGAGGCTGAGATCTGAGGATCAAGGTTTGAAGCCAGCCTGGGCAGGAAAGGTCTGTGAGACCCTTGTCTCCAATCAATCACAAAAAGCCAGAAGTGGAGCTGTGCTAGCTTTGAGCACAAAAGCTGAGGGGACAGCTCCCAGATGGAGTTCAAAGTCCTAGGACTGGCACGCGCGCACGCGCGCGCACACACACACACACACACACACACACACACACACACACACACCCTAATGTTGGTAGCCCACACCTGTAATCCTAGCTACTCAGGCATCTGAGGGCTGAGGAACTGAGAACCAAGGTTCAAAACTAGATGGGGCAGGAAAGTCCAGAAGACTTTTAACTCCAACTAGACACCAAATAGGATCTCAAGGGGAGGTGTAGCTCAAGTGGTGGACCGCTAGCGTTGAGCAGAAAAAGCTAAGAAGTAGAAGAAGGAAAAACACCTAATAACCTGCTGGAGGTAGTAGTGTACACCTGCAACCTCAGGCTGCTGGGACAAGGGGAGTCAGGAGTTGCAGCACGGCGGGGGCTTGTCTCCAACTTGTCTCAGAGAAGTGATTAGAGCGCTTGCCGTGCATGCACGAAGCCCTGGGTTCGATTCCTCAGCACCACATACACAGAAAAAGCCGGACGTGGCGCTGTGGCTCAAGTGGTAAAGCGCTAGCCTTGACCTGAAGAGCTCAAGGCCCTGAGTTCAAGCCCCAGGACTGGCAAAAAATAAATAAAACAAGGAAAGAAGTGAATGATTAACCCGAGTAGGAAAGAAGACCCCCCCCCCCCACCGCGCAGGCCCGCGCGGGGGTGCGGGTGCGGGTGCGGGTGCAGGTGCAGCCCCTGTGGGCCGCCCGCTCCGCAGTTCCGAGCTTCAGTTTGGGCAGGTCCCAGCGCGCGCGTGCGCAGAGCCCCGCGCGCTCCGCCCCGCCCCTGCCCTGCCCTCCCACCCCCCACCCCCCGGGCTATGAAAAGCCGCCCCGGGCGCGCACCCAGCCGTCGGGGCGGCCCTGGAGAGCTGGTGCCCGCAGAGGCGGCGATCGTGGCGCCCGCTCATCATGGTGAGCTCGCGGCGGCGTGGGCCGGGCCGGGGTTTGCAGGAGGGTGGGGTGGGGTGTGTGCGGGGGGGATTCTTGGGAGGAAGTGGCATGCAAATGAGGACCCCGGGTTCCGGAGTTGACTTCAGGGTGTTCGGACGCAGCCTAAAGGTAGGGGGTGAGCCGGGAGGGGGCCTGGGGGGGGGCAAGCAACCCGCGTTCCCCAAGTTCGGGACTCCGCACCGCAGCTGGAGAGGCTGGGCCTGCTCGGGGCTCGCTCTGGGCAGCCTTGCTCGCCAAAGGCCACGCGGAAACCTCAGCCTGCGGCGCCAAGATGGAGACGAGTTTCCAGCGGGTGTTACTTTTGCTTTCAACAGATGGGAAAACAGGTGGCTCAGAGAGGTGTTGCTGACACACAGCGAAGTGGAGGGGTGTATGGGTGGTGGGGAGGGGTTAAGGGGGGGGGGAAAGCTAGATCCTGAACACAGGTGTCCTGTGCTGCCCAGCCCTGGGGCAGGCACAAAGATCACGACTTTGTGTGTGGCGGCGGTGGTGGTGGTGGGGTACAACCGGAGAGAGCGCAGAGGAGGTGGTAGGCAGTGAATGAGGCCCTTTGTCCAGTGCTCTCCTGCCCTGCCCCCTACCAGCCCTCTGTGGGACCATTGTCCCCCCTCCCATCCCAGACAAGAGAGTATTATCTGTTGCGGCCATTGTTGGGGAGGAGGGAGGCGGGCTTTGGGTGACCCTCCTCTGTACACCCAGAGCCACGGCAGCTGTGGCTTTGCCCAGATAGAGAGCTCCAATCTCCAAAGAGAACATCCTTCAGGAGCTGCCAAGAATATCAAGTTAGGCCAGGCCTGGAACCCCAGGCCCTAGCCGGCTCTGCATGCTCTTCCAACTGCTTGTGCTCTTCCCTGCCTGGCAGCAGTGGGTGAGCCTTGAGGCCAGGAGTGGACGAGGTTAGGGAACTTTAGGAAGGGCCCTCTGTCTCCCCCACAGCCCAACTCCACAGAAGTCTTCAAGAAGAAGACCACCCTGCCTCCCTGGTAAGATGTCCAGGAGCCAAGGGGGTCTTTAAGACAAGCCTAAGGATTTTGGAGCTTCAGCTCCTTGTTAGGACTAGACTAGGCTAGAAAGCCAGGTATCCGTGGCTCACGCCTGCCATCCTAGCTACTCAGGAGGTGGAGATCTGAGGATTTTGCAGGAAGATTCCCATGAAACTTCTCTCCAGCAAATAGCGGAAGTGGAGCGTGGCATCGGCTGGCGGGCAGGCGGGCAGGCTGTGCGGGACCCGGGCTCACCATCTCCTCTTCCCTCCTCACACAGAACACAAGCTTCTCCCGAAAGAGCCACACGTTTCTGCCCAAGATCTTCTTTCGTAAAATGTCATCCTCCGGGGCCAAGGACAAGCCTGAGCTGCAGTTTCCCTTCCTCCAGGACGAGGACACAGTGGCCGTGCTCCATGAGTGCAAGACACTCTTTATCCTGCGCGGCCTGCCCGGCAGCGGCAAATCCACCCTGGCTCGGGTCATCGTGGACAAGTACCACGATGGCACCAAGATGGTGTCTGCCGATGCTTACAAGATCACCCCAGGCAGCCGAGGAGACTTCTCGGAGGAGTACAAGCGGCTGGACGGGGAGCTGGCTGCCTACTGCCGTCGGAACATACGAGTTCTTGTGCTCGACGACACCAACCATGAACGGGAGCGGCTGGAACAGCTCTTTGAAATGGCTGACCAGTACCAGTACCAGGTGGCATTGGTAGAACCCAAGACCGCATGGAGGCTGGACTGTGCCCAGCTCAAGGAGAAGAACCAGTGGCAGCTGTCGGCCGATGACCTTAAGAAG